TTGAATACACAAAAGGAAACCAGGAAGTGCAAACCAGTTTCTATATTTGTAGAAAAATACTTTGATGAAAAAAACCTGTTTTGACATGATCTGTTGTGAGGTGTAGTCCACAGGGATCTCATGTCTTACATACAGCTGATGTTATCTATGTGGTAAGATATTTCTCCCATCTCATCCGACTCCCGGTGTTCTCCGAGGTGATTCACAGTGAGTCACTGGCCCTGTAATCACCGTCAGTGGCACCCATCGACCATTCACTCACTATCATAACAAACAACAAACAAGCACCTGCTGCTGGGTTCTGGACCACGGAGTCCTTCTTGATACACAATAGACACGCATGATCAAGGTGGTAGACTTCTGTTAGACTTCATGTCACCGATAAATGTAGAGATGAACACTGTATAATTATTTTGTACACAGACGAAGTGAAGTCATAGGCCTTAGATTTGGACTTATAAATGCATATTATTCTATATATAGATGTTCCAAATTTAAAGATAGTTGATCACTTCAGGGATAGATTTATGATTTTTCAATCTGATAATATCATGATAACATTTTTATGTTCTGATTGGACTATAGGCTAATTATGCATAGGAAAATACTGTATTTTTACTTTCTTTTGTTGTCTGTCAAAGACAAGATAATGCATGAATTTTTGGTGTACGTGTACCCCAGCTTACATAGCCAGTACCTCCAGGGACAGTTGTACAGAAGAAATATGGTTCGCTTGGCATGTCTATTCATGAAGTATATTTTTATCATCCCCCCAGCCTTAATTTCCTTCGAATTCTACCACTTGTTAATTCAGGCTTGTACATACCTTAGGCATGAGGTGTGTGTGAATCACTGTTATATTATTGTTTCCTTCAGACTTGACTATTTTTGGTTTTGCATTGGTGGCTTTGGTTTGCTCCTGGTTTTAACTTGACACTAAACAGTGAAAATAAAGAATACACTATGGTCAATATTAATAATATTGCATGGGTATTCCACTGAAGGACAATAGAACATTTGGTAGAAAATACAAACAGTTGTTGATTACTTAATGGGCTGTAGGGTATAGCCTTCTGATTCAAGCATCAATCCTGACACCAAAGGTTTCTATTCCCCACGATGGGTACAGTGTGTGAAGCCCTAGCTGGTAGTGTACCCCTGCTGGGATGCTGTTAAATCCAGCTGATTCTCGCACTGATAGCTACAATGATCATTGCTACATTACCCCCTGGGGATTGGGGGTTTAAATTTGTCTCCAGCAACCTGTGTTTGTTGTATGTGGTGACTTAATAGATTGGGTAGTCAGGGACGGCTGTTTGGTTGATTTAGGGTCTGGTATGCCGATGACGTGGCATATTGCTTATAATATCAATCACTAGTTTGTCTTGTGCATTCTTGACTTTTCACATGCGTCATCTGTGTGAAAAAACAACCAACAAACAAATGAAATACCTAGTTTACAGGTATGTCATGACTGATCAGCAAGGAGACCAGCAATGCTCATTATTCTATAAGAAGTAAGTGGTGATATAAGACTCATAATGCCTCTCCATTATGGTATAAAGGCAAGGGAGATAATCAGGCAGATGGTGCAGGGATATTGCTGTGTGTGAGAATGCTGATGGATGTTTTTATAGTCATTCCACACTGCCGACACTTTTCGTCCAATGTTTTTGTTTTTGGCAAGACGTACTCCGATCAAATCACATTAGTACAGCATAACCTGTTAAACTTGTAATATTGGATTGTGGCCAGGGCTTCCATCATCTTGTATCATTTCTAGGCAGAGTTTAAAAACTTGGATGATCTTCAAAATATACAAGCAGGCATGAAATGGAGCCACCTCTACACCTACCCAGCCAGCATCTTGGCAGCTGTTTATATATATCACCATTTCTATCTGTTTATCAAGCTCATAAATTATTCATTATGTCATGAATTTTATTTTTATGGGTTGAATGTGAATCATATAACACAAAACCACACTTGTAAAAAAAGAGATCTAATATGGAGAAGTAGCGTTTTTTAAATCATTTACTAACCTAATATCATTTCAACCAGTATCGCGTAAGAAGTTCACCCCATGGGGATTCAAGGTTATAATAGACACGAAGAACCTATGCTGGATGTAAGGCCTGACTAAAAGGATTGGGTGGTCAGGATTGGTGACTTAGTCGATATTGCATGTCATTGTTCCCCGACTGTGTGGGTTGTTGCTCATAATATCGGTAGGGGGCACGGGTGGCCCAGTCGTCTAAGGCGCCGCGATTCGCTGTGCAGAGTTGCGTCCCTTGGGCACGCCAGAAACCTATGATTGTGGGTTCGAATCCTGGTTCACCCCAATTATGTTTCAAGGTTTGTCAGCACCATACCCGTGCTCGTGGGTTTCACCGAAGTGGTAAACGTCTTAGATCACTTCGGGCTTTCCTCCCACATTAAACTGACACGCCGTGATATAACTGGAATAATGTTCAAAGCGGCGTTAAAACCAACTCACTCACTCACTCACTCATAATATCGGTCACTAGCTGCTGTCATATACCTGGACTATTACTGAGTGAGGCTTTAAACAAACATACATCAGAAGTTCTTTTGTGCAATTGCATAGATATATGCTCATGATGTCAATCACTGGATTGTTTGGTCCAGACTGGATTATTTACAGACCACTGTAATATAGCTGGAATATTGCTGAGTGTGTTGTTAAACAACAAGCAAGCAAACAATCAAACAAACAAACATAGCAGAAATAGAATTCCGTGCTTGTCACAAGAGCTGATAAATGAGCATTGACTGTTTTTTGTGGGCATTGGACCCTAACAGCATGGATTGGTGCTCATGCTATCAACCACCGGATTTGAATATTTACAGTGTGAGGTTTTGTAACTGAAATATACAACAGCCTAAAACAAAGATCATTCTCACCAGCATTTCTGATGAAGTGGTTGTGTTTTGTTTATCGGGCATCTCTATCTACAGACTATTTACTCAGCGTCGCTGTTGAAATACGTTGAGGTTATGATACGTATGCAAACAACAACAAACCAGTTTCCTCGACACCTCTCCTAATGGCTTGTTTCAGCCCCAGTGCCCTTCAAGGCATGTTTTTGTATAGTGTTCTTCTAAACAGGTGTCTGCTTCACTGGCATTCCCTGTACAGTCTGGAAACATTCCTTACAAGACTAAATTAGATCCCTAATTGCTCGCTGTCCTAACGAGAGAGGAGAGGAGAGAAGCAGCAGAGAGGTAGTTAGAAACAGCTCCACCAGATGTAAGAAGGTGGTTGGTGGAGTTTTCCTAAACGTTATGATACCGTATTCACCATAGATTGTGCTGTATAGGACTGTAATGAACAATAAGCAATCAATATGACATAGATCACTGGATATTATCTTATCTGAAGACCTTTTTTTTAAGGGCATGAAATGATTATTTGTTGGTTGGAAATACCAAACTGGATGTGTTTTCAAAATGTTCTCATAGTCCTAAGTGGTATTGGAGAATGTCTTTTTTTATCATGACATCGTGGAACTAGTTATGGAGTGAGTGATGGCTGAAATATTGTCGATGTGACATTAAATATTAACTCACTCAACCACTATGGAGTGAGTGAGTTAGTGAGTGGTTTGACATATCTTTTAGCAATATTCCAGCAATTAAGATCTTAGTGGGGACACCAGAAAGTCAGTTTGAAAACTTGCAGTATAGATCAAGTGAAAGAAAGTAGGAGTGTTATTATTGCTTTTATGTATTACCTAAGAAATTGTACTATTAATTGCGGCAAATCTATAATGGCCAACTGAATTAAGAAGCTGCTGAAGTGACAACTAATTGTTATGGCTGTACACGTTTGTTACATCCATGCGTTTCAGTACCTCCATTACGGTAGCGGCTATAATGGTGGTGTGGGGTGAAGAAGGGCACTGATCGTCGTGATGTTTCTCCTCAGTATTCATGACTGGTTTAAAGGATTACCGAAGGTTTATGGTCTCGTTGTGGTCTTTGTTGGGGATGCCATCCATACAGAATAGTAATGTAAATGAGGGCATAGGAAGTGCTACTTTTGCACACAAGCATGATCCTTCGCTGAGTAAAACATGTGTTTTTTTAGTCATTGTTGTTTTTGTGTTGTACATAAGGATTCTGCATTATCATTGTTTTTGAGTACTGAGCTAGGCACTTTTTATTGACTACCTGTGTTATCGAGAAGAAAGGATATAAATTAGTGTTACATGCATTTGAAATCAAAGCAATACTAATGACTAAAACATCTTTGTCTCCCTTTGAGTACAAATATTGTATTGATAATTCTGTAAATTATTCCCAAAAGTTGACAGTTGATATGGCTGCACAGCTTATTATTTTATATCAACAACAGATCCTGTCAGTGGGAGTTGATATAGTATGACAATGTGCATCATTCTGGGGATTCTCATGATAAGATCAATAGTAATAAATAATAGCTTGTCATCTGATAGTGTGGCAGTGGATATTGATAAATACTTATGAATAAAAATCACATTGCGAAACATTGTTTCAATTTCTGATTCAGCTATGGAATTTTCTGTCACATTCTTGTCTCCCCAAGCAATTGATATGTCAATGCCTGTAACATTCTAATAGGAATGCTTTTATTGTCTAAAAATTGCTGACACAGCATAAGATGTGTTGGGTAATTTTGGAAACTGAAATGTTATTATATGATGAAAAATTATAAATTAAAAAATGTTGCACATACACATGTATTTTTAGATTGATTGGCTATATTCAATTAAATGGCTATAAGGTTCCCCAGAGCTATGCAGTCAACCCCTATAAAGATCTGCAAATCTGTCAATGTCGAGCCAACAAACATATTACATGTACTAATCTTTTAGCAGCAAGAGTCAATATTATGACACTTTTTTCCAACAGATTTGAATTGTTTAGAAATATATCTTATTGGAGATGACTGTTCAATATATACCCTTGCATTATTTTGAATTTTTTTTTTCTTTCAGATCAAAATCGTAATCGTACAGTTCGGACCCCAAGTAAGACCAGCAACCATCTCAAAGGCAGTCATCAGCCAGACCTCGTCTCCAACTCACTACGGTCCAGTTCGGAGAAGGAAATCAGTCGTCTGGAAACATTATGCGAGTCTCGAACCAAGGAACTCAGTATCATCAGTATGCAACTCAAAAACAGCACACAAGCTTTCGACGCCATGTCCTGTCTTGTGAAATACTTAACCCAGGAAGTAAGTTGAAGACATGATCAGATAATGATAGAATACATGATGAAATACATGATGGAATAAATGTTATCATGGCTCTACAATAAGAAAGGTAATATTTTCAACAAGTGCTAAAATAATGTCAGAGAGAATTAGATTATAAAAAAATTATTTCATGTTGTTACCAAATTTTGATCGGACCCTTTTATGGATTGTTTCCAATTTTGAAAAGATCTTTAGGACATTTTTGATAACAATCATCATAGTTTTGAACCAATCTGAAAACATGGGAGCAATTCATCAGGAAACCTTTTGAAAATAAGCAATGAAGAAATTTGGAATGTACTTTTTATACCTAATGACAAGGGTATTTTTAGAAATGATAAGTACAGAAATTAAAGAATATTACATTATTCTAGCTTTTCAGCAGCTTGGTTATCACATTAATAATGCTGATCCTTTTCTTATTAAAGAGAGAGATGTCTTTTACTAAAAGCCTAAGCATGTCTAGATAAAACTGAACCAAGTCTAGTTTCCTTGATTCCGTGGGGTGGTCAGGTAGCCTTGTGGTTAAAGCGTTTGCTTGTCACGCCGAAGACCCGGGTTCGATTCCTGACATGGGTACAATGTGTGAAGCCCATTACTGGTGTCCCCCGCCGTGATATTGCTGGAATATTGCTAAAAGCGGCGTAAATCCACACTCACTCACTCCTTGATTCCACAACAGAAGAAGAAAGGTTCTTTTGAAAATAATTACAATAATTTTAAAGAAATGTTTTCATAGACTACGCGTCATTCTCTCTTACAGACCCATGAGCAATTATTTTAGTAAACATTCGCCTCTATCATATAATCAACCCCTTTTCATCGCTAGGCCTGAAATTATGACTTAAGGATTACTTTATGGAGTTATTTTATTGAGCCTTATACATTTGTAAATTTTGTTGTTGTATAACACCAAGTATTTCAGCTATGTGAAAGTAATCTGTAAATAATCAAGTGTAGATTAGACAATCCAGTGATTGTCATGAGCATTGTTCCAGGCAGTTGAGATGAAATGACATGCATCAACCAAGTCAATGAGCCTGACCACTCGATCCATTTAGTTGCCTCATACTACAAGGATAGGTTGTTGGGGAACTATATTCTAACATGGAGTCCCTACAGGTTGAACATTACTTTAATTTAGGCTAACAAAGTCCCCTATATATTAGGCCACACTTTTTTAATTTTATGTTTCACGGATTTATTCAATCTTTTCCACACAAGGTCTGTCAAAATGAAAATATACCACTTTCTATTGTATAGGAGGGTCTATATTATTAGCGGGAGACATAATAAAAATAAATATTTTCATGTTTAATTTCTTTCTTTTCGAGCTGCTTGTCAGTCGGGGCAGTGGGTCAGTTAAACAAAAAATAAAAAATGTGTGGCCTTAGTATATTTTGTGGACTGTTAGTCAGACAGTAGAGTTAAAGGTGCCCTTAACATTATTAGGCCTTACCCTTTGACAGAGTGCGCTCAACGATTTAGTAACATTGTTGCATGTTTTCTTCAGCCTCTGATCACAATAGCCCCACCTTTTTAACCACAGGCATTTGCCTGACCAGAACAAAAAAATTCCCAAAATCCTTGCTGGCGAATCCTCCAAAAGTTAACTCACACTTTAATCAAAATCAAACAAAAACTCTCTCTTGCAACACCTGCACTAAACCCTGAACAAACAACCATTTTTTCCCATGTGTGACTTTCTTTCCCAACTCTTTAGAAGAAGTCCAAAGCAACAAATGATAGGGGAGAAGAATGTACTTAGCTGACTATGGAGTGAGAACGTGTTCCTAGTGTTCACAAGATGTTGTCTACTTTCACACTATTTCGACGTGTCTTCTCAGTCCTTGAGATATGCGACAAACAATAGACATCTTGTACTGAAATTACAAAGCGAGAAATAATGAAAAACTCCCGGAAATTGATCTGGTCATTGGAGATCACGCCACCTGTCTCGTCTCAAATTGTTATGTGTGTGTGACAGGAAATCTGTGGAAGCATTCATCCTGTTTTTATATCGGAAATTGGATACTCTTTGAGGGAGGGGGAATAAAGTGCAAATCAGCTGTTTTTCTTTCAGCTTTGGAATGAATTTGACCTTGATGAATGAAATCTATTGCTTGCGAAAGGATTTGTTTTGTAAAGTTTTATGATTTCAGGCAATAGAGGCTGGAGTTGTAGGAAGTATGTTGTTTTTATAATAACTGTACAAATAACTAAATATACAGATATATGTCTATGAAGTGAGTAAAACCATTATGTAGTAAATTCAATTGTTTATCACATCCATACATTTTCATAACACATCGATTTATTAAAACAGTAGAAGGGAATGGTTATAGAAAATTAATATAATTAATGTAAACATTTAATGTACTATAAAGACAATTAAAATTTGTTTTTCAATGTTGTTTACCAAATACTATCATTTTGCTCGGTGATATTTTGGTGGCAATAATAATTTTTGCTTTAATTTTTTCTGGCAATAATATGTTCCTTTACCTTAATAGCCAGATATATCATTACAATATGTCCCCAGCAATCTTATGTTGGTCGTAAAAGATGACTTAATGGATTGAATGGTTAAAAGTGGTGATTGCATGTCATTGTACCCTGACAGTGTGGATCTTTGATCTATTATGAATCACTGGATTGTCTGGTCCAGACTGGATTATCTACAACTAGAATAATGCTGATTACTGCATCAAACAACAAACAATAATACTTAATCACCATTCCTATCCTTTGTGGAATCAATCCCATGTGTATATTAGAATTTAAGCTTTTTTCTTTTACTTCCAAGAACCCAAAAAGGATTATGAGGAAGAGTTCATCCAAAGATACATATGTCTTTGGTTCACCCCAAGTGTGGGGGGCACGGGTGGCCCAGTCGTCTAAGGCGCTGCGATTCGCTGTGCAGAGTTGCGTCCCTTGGGCATGCCAGAAACCTATGATTGTGGGTTCGAATCCCGGTTTGCCCCGATTATGTTTCTAGATTTGTCAGCACCATACCCGTACTCGTGGGTTTCACCGAAGTGGTAAACGTCTGAGACATGCATCACTTCGGGCTTTCCTCCCACATTAAGCTGACACGCCGTAATATAACTGGAATATTGTTATAAGCGGCGGCGTTAAACCCAACACACACACACCACACACACACACACACACACACACACACACACACACACACACACAATCACACACACACACAATCACACAATCACACAATCACACACACACACAATCACACACACACACACACACACACACACACACACACACACACACACACACACACACAATCACACACACAATCACACACACAGTCTTATGTACTTGTTGATTAAACGTATTGGGTTTGGGTGGGAACAATGGGGCTATTGATAGTACTTGCTGTGAGGCATGTATTGTTGGATTAACGGTTTTTGGACATCATATATTTTCAGATGGTTGCGATTACTCGTGTTATTGTGTGTGTGTGTGTGTGTGTGTGTGTGTGTGTGTGTGTGTGTGTGATTGTGTGTGTGTGTGTGTGTGTGATTGTGTGTGTGTGTGTGTGATTGTGTGTGTGTGTGTGTGTGTGTGTGTGTGTGTGTGTGTGTGTGTGTGTGTGTGTGTGTGTGTGTAAATACTCAGATGATGGCTTGTTTCTAAGAGAAGGTTGTCTTTTATAAGTCAATGAGATGTTTTACAGTTGTTCATGTGATTAGAGAGAAAACTAATCCTCCGAAACCCCATAACACAGGGATATGCAACACCAACTCTTATTCTTGACTTGAGTCTTCTTTCACAATAGGAGTTTAGTGCTGGGACTGGTGTAAGAGTAGCACTTTGTGACACGGGCTCATGTAGTGTATCATCACCCAGCGATGGAATGGGTCAGGTGGTCAGGCTTGGGGGTGTGTTTCGTGGTGTATCATCGCACCCTGACAGCATGGTTCATTGCTCACAACATCAATCACTTGATTGTCTGGTCCTGACTCGATTGTTTACATGCCACTGTCATATAGCTTGTATATTGTATAGCATTAAACACCGAAACAAGAAGTGTGACATCATACTTCCAGGTTGTCAATCAGTCAGTTACACCCTCTATTACTGTTTCTGTATGATACTTTGATGCATATTTTCAGCTCGATGCCTTCTCGTGTCCGTTCCTGGCTGAGGAACTGCAGAAAGCCAAGGAACAGCTTACAGAGGCAGAGGGACATATCGGTAAGGAGACAGGCCCACTTAGTCGCAGTAAAAAACATTATCTTTCCGCTAATATTCACCTCTTTAGGTGGAAAGATTTGAGAAAATGAAATTAATCATCAGGAAATATACAAATTGATGTTCTATTTACTTGACAAGATATGATACAAGCAAACACAGGCAGTATTCCTTCAGTGACAGACCGCCTCCGTGGTCTCGTGGTAGAGCGTCCGCCCGGAGAGCGGAAGGTCCGGGGTTCGATCCCCGGCCGCGTCATACCAAAAGACGTTAAAAGATGGTACTTGTTGTTACCCTGTCTGGCGCTCGGCATTAAGGGGCTTAAACAAGGACTTGTCGGCTCGGAGTCAGTATACTGTGTCAGAGTGGGGTATTCATGTTAAACTGCAGCATGGTTTCTCAGTGGGCTAGCACTATAATTCGGCATCAGTACGGACTAGTACAAGCAGCCACACAAACACACACACATACATGCACGTCACTATAAAAGTGCAATAATCTTGGACGTGACGTTAAACCCCATTTCACCTCACCTCACCTTCAGTGACAAGTATTCCTGTATAGTCCTCTCTGCAGGAGTCCCAAACAAAAAGCAAGTTTAAATTCCCTATTTGCTCAACCCCTCCATCATTCGAGTGTATATAAGGGTCCTTTGTGGATTCTAGGTCAGATAAGTTACCCAGTACATTCTGTAAAATGAGGATTGGTTGGTCATGTTTTATGACCTATCCGTTCAGAATAGCTCTTTAGCAACCCATGCTTGCCGTAAAAGGCGACTGTGCATGTTGTAAGGGGACGGTTTGGTAGCCTAGTGGTTTTAATGTTTTTGCTCGTTACACCGAAGACAAGTTCGATTCCCGAAATGGGTACAATGTGTGAAGCCCATTTCCGCCTTGATTTTGCTGGAATATTGCTAAAAGCGGTGTAAAACCAAACTCACTCACTCACTTGTCATAAGAAGCGACTAACGGGATCAGGTGGTCACGCTCACTGACTTGGTTGATGCATGTCATTGTATCCCAATTGCGTAGATTGATGCTCATGATATCAATCACTGGATTGTCTGGTCCAGACTCGATTATTTACAGACCGCTGGAATGTTTCTGAGCACGGCGTTAATCAAGAGATAAACAAACTTTATGACCTGGTTGTGTCAACGTACCCCGACAGTGTTGGACGTTGCTCATGCTATCAACCACAGGTTTGAAATAGCTGAAATATAACCAACAACAGCAACAAAAGAATATGAATAAAAATATTTGAAACATCTAGGATATATTGGTTATTGTGAACATTTCTTGTGCAGCCGAGTTGGAAAGCCACAAGTCCAGGCTAGAGCAGGAGATCTCTGCTCTTACTCAAACCCAGGGTGCATCTGCAGAGGAAGTAAGCAAACTTCAGCTGGAGATTAAATCTCTGAATGAAACCCATGAAAAGGCCATAGCACTACTCAAAGAGGAGCATGAAACGGCTATTAAGGACATGACTAAGGCGAATGAGAAAGCAACGACTGAGTACAAGGCAAAGGGTAAATAAAATTCTGTAATAATTTCACTAAACAATAAATTTGGAAATAAACACTTTTGAACAATAAATTAAGAATGAATGAATAATGTTTTATGCTGCATCAGCATTTTTTCAGCTATTCACGGCGAATAAATTAAGAAAAGATATGATAAATTAGCCAGAATCTCGAATCTCGAATTTTGTTGATGGTTTCAACAGTAAGTAGTTGTCCAGGAGTTACCTCCCCTTAAGTATGTCGTTTGTATTTCGCTTGTTGAGTGATGACTTGTCTTTCTTGACTCAACTAAAGTCTTTGATTAATATCATTTCCTTTTATTGTATATACTTTTGATGTGTTCATTGTATTTGATTGTATCTGAAGTGTTTTATTTTTACTTGCAGCCATGGACCACCATGAGCACGTCATCTCGTACATGAAGGACTGTCATGACAGAAACGTAGGTGACCATTAGACAATTCCGGAAATAAAAACAAGTGGGCAGACAGCCAATAGCAAGATTCTTATGGACAATGAGAATGTTAGAAATAAGTACTTGATCATTGCCAAGTGGTCTGATGCACCATAGCTCTGTGAGCAGACCCCTGTCTTTGTCCAGGAACCACTACCCTGTGGGGATCCTGGGTTAGAATTGGTCCCCAGCGGCCTATCCTGGTCGTATGAGGCGACCGAATGTATAGGGTCGTCTGTGACTTGCTTTATTTACATGCCACCGTCATATAGCTTAGTGAAGCATTTAACGAGAAACAGATACACACACACACCAGAACCACTAATTGTGAGTTTGAATCTTGGATTAGCCCTTACTGGTCATACTAGTCCATTAGTAATTGAGGACTCTCCTCCCACATGAAACTGATATGTTAGGATGTATTTCTTTCTGTCTTTATTTATTATCCCCCGCCCAACAAAGTTGGCAGGGGATATAGAAACAGGCTCCGTCCGTCCGTCACGTTTCGTTTCCGGAGCAACACTCAGAAACCGTTCAATATTTTTTCATCAAACTTTGCAGGTCTGTCAAGAACATGCTGAACTGGTGCCTTTTGCTATTTAGAATTTTTTATTTTTTTTACGTTTCCATGGCAACATGATGGACTTAGGTTCTGTGAGGGTAGGGTTCGTTTCCGGAGCATAACTCATAAACCGTTCAATATTTTTTCATGAAACTTTGCAGGTTTGTCAGGTACATGAATTTTTACGTTTCCATGGCAACAAGATGGACTTAGGTTCCATACTCTTCTTTTTTTTACAATTTCCATGACAAGTTCCACCTCGGTTAAAAAAAGGTTAGGGTTTGTTTAGATTTAATCATGTCATAAATTCTGCAACAGGGGCGGGGGATATAGCCACATTAGTGGCAAACTCTTGTTTTTGTTGGGACTATTATTGTTATAACTAATATGTGTGTGTGTGTGTGTGTGTGTGTGTGTGTGTGTGTGTGTGTGTGTGTGTGTGTGTGTGTGTGTGTGTGTGTGTGTGTGTGTGTATATGTATGTATGTATTCTCTCACTCACTCACTCACTCACTCACTCACTCACTCACTCCTACTTCTCCTTCTGTTCAGGTGTCGGACATCAACCTTGACCACCAGCGAGCGATCGACTCCTTGAGGCTGTCCCACTTGGAGGACATCGAGAAACTGAGGACCAAACATGACAATCAGATGGAAGGTAGGATGCTCACTGACAAAAATATAAAATTGTAATGACAGATAATCTTTTTTGTTCTTTTCGTTTTGAGACATACCTCTCACATCCTAAAGGGGCGGTCAGGTAGCCTAATGGTTAAAGCGGTCGCTAGTCACGCCGAAGACCCAGGTTCGATTCCCGACATGGGTACAATGTGTGAAGCCCATTTCCGGTGTCCCCCACCATGATATTGCTTTAATATTGTTAAAAGCGACGTAAAACCACACACACACACACACACACACTCTCACTCAGTCACTCACTCACTCAATCAATCAATCAATCAATCAATCAATCAATCAATCAATCAATCAATCAAACTGAATTGTCGAAGTTTTTACATCCTTAAATAGATTTTTTTTAAAACAACCAACAGAATCATTGTATAGTACCACTTCGTAAATGTTAAAAAAACAGATACTGTGGAGCAACACCCTCACCTACACACCACATTATGCCAGGAAGGCTTTTGAACTGGCACAATCTTTCATTTATTCCCTTTTACCAATGACAGTGAAGCTGTTCATTTTCAGGGTAATAATATGATGATTGGAACTGTTGTTTATTGAGTTGAACTGTAAAACCTGTCAAAGTTGGTTGTTTTTGGATGGAAATTTGCAGATTTGTGAACCTCCCTATTTTTATCTGACATCAAAGTTTTGAACCACCATGAGGGCAGGCAAGCAAAAGCAAGATTCTCATGGACAATGAGAATGTTAGAAATAAGTACTTGATCATGTTCAGTTGGTCTGATGCACCCTAGCTCTGTGACCAGACCCATGTCTTTTACCAGGAACCACTACCCTGTGGGTCTCATTGTTTAAACTGGTTATTTGGATGTTATTGTATCCTAATGTTCCTCTTATCATCCACTGTTCTAGTGGCCCAGACTGGGCCCAGTCTCCAGGTTGCTGGAATATTGACCGCAGCAACATTCACTCATACTTTCATTGGCTACACAATCTCACATAGGGTTTAAAAACGTCTATGAAATTTGAAGTCCTGAAAAGATTGATCCAGCGTTAAACACAAATCACTCACTCACTCACTCCTGAAAGATTGACACTAATCTCATAGCGTATATATCTTGAGTGTTAATAGGTAGAACTCATTACTTCTCTGTAAAAGATAACAAGTCCAGTGTGCTTGGCAACAATGTTTGCCATGTGGTATAAGGGAGATAACTCTTCATGATCTAGGAAGTTGTATTTGTTTGGATCCATGTATACAGTATAAAATTATTAGTGGGTACAGCTGAGATTTAATAATGATGAACTTGTTGATACATATTCCATATTAAGGCCAAGTTAAGGAAATATTATGACAAAAAACAATTCTTTTGTAATAAAGAGCAGGTTTCTCAGCTGAGGATAAAGATATTCAAAGAGACTGTATCCCACATGAATTCATCACTACGTCAAATTGATAATACCTTTTATTTCTGAACTGTGAAGAGAAAACTGGTATTTCCTGGTATCTATTATTTTTGTAATAATGATCCAGGGGTGTTTTGGTGGACTGCATGAAGTGGGTTGGCAGAAAGATGTGGAGAAACACCCTACTGTGGTTTTTCTACCCATATGCGTGTGTTTCCATTGTTATGTGATGGATTTGGAAAATAAATCTTAAAAAGTATTATTAGTTATTATTCGATGTAGGGCTATATGTTAGCTGTAGAATTGAGAGTGCTAACTTTACCCAGTTGTCTAATTGACTCTTGTGATTTGAAACTGATGGTCCGGTCAGATCATCCCACAAAGTCAGGATAGAATTTTGATTTAGTTTATTCAATAAGATGTGGAGAATCACACTCTCATGCGTGTGTTTCCATAGTTATTCACAGAAGGAACTGCAAAAGGAATTTATAAAAGTGTTTATAAATGATTTATACGATGTAAAGCTGTAGATTTGAGAGAGTTAAAGTGATCAAGTTGTCTAGTTGATTTTATTGTGATTTGAAATTGATGGACCGGTTATATTTTAGCATCCAAAATCAGCACAGAATCCTTATTTATTAATTCATTTAGGCAGTGGAGATTCCTGGCCTGAATATGTATAATTCCCCTTTGATGTATGTTGGCCGTAAGATGGGGATACTATATGGAATCAGGCTGTCATTGGTTGATTAAATGTCATCTCCTATACTTTCTACCTCTTTTTCTTCCTCCCTCCCCCTTTGAAAACCACATATGTTGTTGGCAGTAAAGTTACCGGGTATCTGAGAGAGGATTTTGATTTTTGGCCCACTCCCTTTTAAAATATGCAACATCCGCCATTGCACCCCATGCTTGTGGTAAGACGAGAATATTTCTGAATGGGGCTCTAAACAACAACATTCACTTCCGTGTATCATCATAGGGTTTTATTCCACGTGATCTTAATCCAGGGTCCCATTGCACAAGGCAATCTTATTGTTACCAATATCGTTGTAAGCCCATGTATGAGAGTTACGATCATTCTCGCGCTGAGATCACTATGTGGAACGGGATCTGGACTTAAGCTTGGCGAGCCAACACTTTAGCCACTAGGCTACCCCGCCGCCCTTTTCATACTATAATGGCAGTAAGAGACACTTGTCTACCAACTGCTGGACATGTTTGGGCCAGCTGTCTCCCTTGACTGACTTTATAAGCATGTCTATTATAACCCAGCACTTCTGTGCCAAGCTGTTATCTCCACTTTAATTATAGGATATCAAGATCATGACACCAGCCACTCAAAACCCTTTCTCCAGTGTTTGGGCAGGGTACTTATTTTTATGACTGTACTTCGGACTGTGACAAGATGTAAGTCAATATTGCCCTTTGTTGAAGTTCTATTGTACTGCAGTTGTTTTATTTACATACTGGGTGGCCCAGTTGTGTATCAGGCTCCAGAATTAGCTGTGCGGAGTTGCGTCCCTTAGGCATGCCAGGAAACAATAATCACATGTTTGAAATTGTATTCATTGTGTTGTGTATGTCTGTACATATTCTTTATAGATAGGATCATACTTTAACAAATATTCAAAAATGGCCAATGAGGTCCCCTTGGGCCAATCAGTGTGAAGCACACTATCCCTTGGTATGTGAGGATCATAGCTCTGTGTCTGCATGGGCTTCATCTCAGGTTTCTCATGCCTTCCGAGACCCGTGAAGATCCCGAGGTAGAATAGGTCTTCAGCAACCCATACTTGTCGTAAAAGGCGACTATGCTCGTCGTAAAAGGCGACTAAGGGGATCGGGTGGTCAGGCTCGCTGACTTGGTTGATGCATGTCATCGATCCCAATTGCTTAGATTGATGCTCATGATGTCAATCACTGGATTGTCTGGTCCAGACTTGATTATTTTACAGATCGCCGTCATATAGCTGGAATATTGCCGAGTGCGGCGTTAAACAACAAACAAACAAACAAATCATGTCTGCTGAATTTCTTTTGAAATATTTTTTGTTATGAAATATATTAATATGTTGTGATTAGTATGGAATATTTTCATATTATATTAAGTCATATTTTAAAATCCTTTACTGTACACACAGTACATTTTCCGATATATTAATTAAGGCTTAGATGTGCATTTCATAGATTTTTACAATGGTCAGACCTGTGAAAATCTGGCTTAGAATTAGTCTTCAGCAACCCATGCTTGTTGTAAGGGGCGACTAACAGGGTCGGGTGGTTAGACTCACTGGCTTGGTTGATACATGTCATTGTATCCCAATAGCATAGATTGACGCTCGTGATGTCAACCACTGGAATGTCTTTCCCAGACTCGATTATTTACAGATGGACATCATATATCACGTATATTGCTGGGTGTGGCATTAAACAACATTAAACAAACAAAGGTCAAATGTCTGTTTGTGAACATCTTGTTTTCTTGTCTGATAAACATAAAGTTAATTGTTCACATTGCTTAAATGCTTGTTATTTATCTCTCTGAAATTTACTCAGTTGGCAACTGTTCAGAATCGATATGTCTGACCTGCAGAGAGCTCCCTCAAATTTTCTCTGCGTGAATAAAATATACACATGCTGACTTCGCATGTCTCATTCTGATTATCGTCTGCTAACCTGTGACAATATCAATATTTGATCATCCGGAGATATTGTTGTTATTACACCTTAAATCACAAAGTATACATAACCCTCTTATAACACCTCATTCAAGCTGTATCACACAGTGCATCAGTACAGTGCATCAGTGCCAGAGATTACTATGATAGACAGATCTCATACCAATCTTGCCCCTTTGTTGAAGGGTGTAAATTATTCAATCACTTTAATTACAGCCGACTCAACAATGATATAGCCCATCCTAATCCCATATGAAAAGAGTCACCAACGAAGCCCATTCTGTGTTGTATACTTATGTTCTTTACTTTTAACATGATCAAATTCTTTTAATACACAGTGAAGGAATGTAGGTGATTGTTCAGTCAATTCAAAGAAACAGGGTAGAGTAGATATAGACATGAATAGCGGCAGTGTGTATAGACCCGTATTGAGCCCAGGAGATATAGACCTATATTGACGGCGGTGGATAAAGCTCGTATCACTCAATAGTTCCACTGACAGGGGGGCAGTGAAGGTACTCCCAGGTGAAACAAGATCTTCTGCAGACTGAGCTTTCCTTCAAAGAGGAAACTGTATCTTCTGCCTTCCAATTGGAAAGATTGACGTCTGCTTCTTGTGTCTGCTTATATGACAGTGTGTGGAGTTTAGGAAAGGCAGACTGTTTGGATTGACTACAGTTTGACATATGGAGGTTTGGATTTGACAGCAAGATGGTGATTCTGTTTGGAAAAAGTGTTTATCCAGAGGTATTTTTGGTGTAATGTAGAGTTATATAATTCAGTAGATGTGCGGAGGAATGTGTGTTTGTTTGCTGTGGCTTGGACTGTATACAGTGTGATATTGGAGCAGTGCAGAGCTTTGGGACTGTCGGCTTGGCCTTGCTGGACGAAGTCACATCTGGATAATCATATATTTGTGAATCAG